GACGGCGCGGACCCGGCGGGTGCGGAGGGCGTGACCCTGCAGCGCAGCATCACGCTGCTCAACGGCGTGGCCATCATCGTGGGCACCATCATCGGCTCGGGCATCTTCGTGACGCCCACGGGCGTGCTCAAGGAGGCGGGCTCGCCGGGGCTGGCGCTCGTGGTGTGGGCGGTGTGCGGCGTCTTCTCCATCGTGGGCGCGCTCTGCTACGCGGAGCTGGGCACCACCATCTCCAAGTCGGGCGGCGACTACGCCTACATGCTGGAGGTGTACGGCTCGCTGCCCGCCTTCCTCAAGCTCTGGATCGAGCTGCTCATCATCCGGCCGTCGTCACAGTACATCGTGGCGCTCGTCTTCGCCACCTACCTGCTCAAACCGCTCTTCCCCACCTGCCCGGTGCCCGAGGAGGCCGCCAAGCTGGTGGCCTGCCTCTGCGTGCGTGAGTAGGGGCCGGGCCGGGCGGGCAGGGCGCGAGCCGAGACCCCTGCGGTCCCCGCAGGGCGTCATCCCGTCCTGCATCCCAGCATCCCTCCACCCCTGGACCACCCCGGCCGTTCCACGCTGAGGTCACGGGTTTCAGAACCCACGTGCGTTTCATTGGTCGGTAGTGTGTACACTTTTGGGGGGGGGCACGAAGACTTAAAAGTGATTCCGACCCTGGGGTCCCCGGTCTGATCCCCAGGAGTCATCCCCCTCTTTCCCGCCTAAGCCGGGAGCGGGTCTAGTGCCCGGGCTGAGCTGTACTCCCTGCCTCCTGCAAGGCACCACGTGGAGTGACTGATCGTTTCCTGTTTGAGCGTCATTTGTGGACTGGTTGCTAAGAGGGAAATTGCCGTTAAGAAAATCATCCGTGTCTGTTCTTCCAACCGGCCTGTCAGGAATCAGTGCACGGGCTGACTCACTAGAAAACAGGAGTGATAAAATTGTGTGGTAGTGTCGGTTGCTCGTTAGGGCTGAGCAGCAGCGTTGTCCTGTAAAGGTTCCTTGGCCGTAGGAGACCCGAGCTGCGCTGCAAACAGTCTGTGTGGGTGGGCTTGGGGGTCCCACGTGGTGCCAAGGAAGTAACAGCCGTTGGGTTTAATCCTCACAGGTCAGGGAGAACTGCTGCTTTCTAAAACATTAGTTGTGGAAATATTCAGGACTGAAAGAAAAACCCCTGAAGCAAACCCCACTTCACAGGGGAGGGCTTGGCGTGTCTCGGGATTGTTCCCATGGCCGGCCTGGCTAGCGTCCTGCTTTCGGTTTACAGCAGATCCCTGGGCAGACGGTATCTGTATCAGGAGCTGTAGGAGGCCGGTGTGGTAGGCTAGCCTCCGAATTTGTGGTTCTGGGTCATGAGCCGTAACCACGGGGCCATGTAAGCATCGCAGCTGCTGCCGCATGGCATGACCTGCAGGGCTTTGGGTCATGCCGCCTCAGAGTTGCACTGCCCTCGGCTGCTCCTGAGTGTGGCTATCAGTGACCGACCAGAGGCTGACATGGTAAGGGGGTCCCCATGGTTGATCTTCGAAAGACCTGGAACTAGGGAGCAGGTGGCTTCTAGTTGCTATGGGTGTGAGGTCCCAAAGACACACTGGACTGGCCAGGGTGTACCAGGCCTTCGTCCAGCAGGTGGAATACTTTGCTTCTCTTAGCGTCAGAATTTTAACTGTCCAATTTTCATCAATGATAGGAGTCATTTGACCTTTAGGCAAGGTAGGGAATAGCGTAGAGGCTATCATGAAAGAGTTCACTCTTCCCAGTCAAAATGGACCTGGGGGGCAGGTCTCCTACTTCTGCAGGGGCCGGTGAAGCATTAGGAAGCCAGCTCCCCCCCCCCCCCCGTGAGGCAGTAAGAATGGGGGTTTTCAAATGTCTTTCTTTTTAAAACAATAATGCTTTACTTTTGTGTGTGTCTGCACATGTGTGCAGGTATCAGATAACTTTCAGAAGTCAGTTCGCTCCTTCCACGGTGTGTCCTTGGGATCAGACTCAGGTCCCCATGCTTGGAGGCAAGTACATTTACCCTCTGAGCCATCTCTCTGGCCCAAATGCCCTTCTTCTAATAATAAAAAACAAGTAATAATGCAAATGATGTAAAGATTCGACCATATAGATGTGTGAGAGTCAAAGGTGATCCATATTCCTCTTCTAGAGGCTAATGTGTAGCCAGAACTTTCTCTGATGGAGATACATGGTTCCTTTTCCTTTTAAAGTCTCAGTTGGATCACAATGGACAGCAAGTTTTTCACCTCTTTTAGATCTTCAAGGGACACTGCCCCAAAGGCCTACTTCTGTGTTTCAGCTCTTCAGGAAAGCATCCAGCAAGTGTACTCAGCATTTGGGGTTTCCGGGCTCTGAGAAAATAGCAACGCAGCGTGTAGGCTCTAGGCTGACAGAGAGCTTGCAGCAGGCCAAACACTCAGTAGATTTCTTTTGCGATAGAATAGTCTTAAAAAATACCCCAAGTTGCTTTCAGGAAGAGGTCCTGTGTATCTACTGCAGGCAGAACCTTCTGGTTAAGGTCTAGAACACACAGAACTGTCTGGAGCTTTGGAGTGCAGAGGTGGGTGCTGTCAGTCCGCACCTCTTTTTCACGTTTGGGCTGATTTTGCACTGGTCGGGTCTGCGCCGTGGATGTGCATGTGCTGTCGCCTTATTGGAATGAGGGTTTTTGGTCAGATGGACCGGCTTCCTCGGGACGGCCTTATCTAGCACCTGCCTGGACCGGCAGGAGAACCCTGTCCATGCAGCCCTGCTGCAGGCCAGAGGAGCTCTGAAGTCTGCAGGGTGTGAGTAGAAGCCTGAGGATTGTGCTCTGAGTAGTGAGCTCCATTGAGTGCCTATTCTTTCTGGAGGCTCCTCCTGTGGAAGGACGTTTTCCTTGGCATCCATGTCTTGGGAAAGGCTGCGAGGTAGCACAGAGGGCCAGATCCTAGAGCAGAGGGCTCCTGTCTGCAGGTTGCTGTTTCCAGCCCTCTGGACTCAGCTGTCAACACATGGCCTTCTGCCTGAACTGTGTTGTGAAATGACTTAGCTTCGGGGTCTAGAATGACCCTAGTGGCAGTGACGGTGGATGCCATCCCTGACAGGGGTCTGGACCTTCCCTCTCCTTGGTCCTGGTGTGTGAAATGTGGAGAAAAGTTTCACAAACTTGCTCTCCACATCTTTCCAGAGGGCCATATCCGTGTGCAGAAGGTCTGTGGTGTGTGGCTTGTCCTTGCCTGAGGACAGCTTGGTAGCTTAGGTAAATGTTGAGTTGACTTGGAGCTCAGTAGGTGCCAGATTTGTCTTGTCACAGAGTCCCCGAGTCAAGCTGAGATTCTGGCTAGGCCAGGATTCGATCAGGAGCTTATCTAATCTCATGGGGCCATGGCTTTCAGGACTGAGGTGCAGCAGGAGACCACATGCCACACAGGGTCTCTGTGTGAGGACTAGCGCCTTTCCCTGCGGGTAGGAGCTGAAACAGGCTTGCCGCATCCTCTGCCCCCTTTATCGCCTTCCCAGGCCTGTGGGTGTCAGGGACATGGCCTGCCAACCACTCTAAAACACTGAAGGACCGCATCCCACCCTGTCCTGGCTGGGCGGAAGTTGGGAACTCTGAGCTCTTATCTTGTCCTCTGAGGATGGTGACTGATTTGCCCTGACCCCCTAGTACCGTGTAACTCACTACCTATCCCTCACTTCTTACTGAGTGGGACAGGGTGGTGGCCATTGTTAGCTGGCATGTGCCCAGGGATCTGTGGCCTGAGAGATTTTCCACCTGGTGTCAGATCAGGAGCCCCTCTGAACTTCTTAACGGCCTGTGTCGTCTGCTCCCTTCTAACATGGAACACCCCAGAACTCATCCTTGCATTGGAAAAAGGAAGGAAGGAGAGAAAGCAAGCTGGGTGACTGCCAGGTGCCTGCCTTCCTCTGAGCGCTGGGCTGCGGGGCATAAGCCCCCAGTGGGGGATTTCAGTGAAGGAATGTGGACCTCTTCTCAGCCTCTCCTGGGGTTTCTGATGGCCTGGGAGCGGGCAGTGGTCAGCTGACCTGAGGACCTTTCAATCAGCTGGGTCACAACTGGAGAGGGAGAGGGTGGCTTTTCTCCTCTTCAAGTTGCCTGCTGGTCTCCACCCACCTCAGGGGTCATCACGTCAGAGGCCCCACTCCTCGGTCCAGGCCTGTGTTGGAGGCAAAGACTGGTGTTGCTAAGGCACCAGGGGCCCGGTGTCTGGAGCCATGAGCTCAGCTCTGCCGACAGTTCGGTAATTAACATTGAAATCCGCTTTGCCAGCCAGACAAATGTGCAGGCACACAGAGCAGGCCACACCCCGTCATGGGACCTGGGGCCAGGACACTAGTGGTTCACAGAGCACGTGACCGGGACAGGTAGGAGATGAGGCAGGCATTTCTAACCCTTTCTTTCTGGGTCATAGACCCCTGAGTAATCTATAGCACACCCAAGATCTCTGCCCAGAAACAGCAGCCCTGCACAGCCACAGGCTTCCCAGACCCCGAGACACAGGTGTGGGTGAGAGAACCCCACACACATTGCCCCCAGTGCAGCACAGCTATTGTCAGGCATGTGGGCCACTGGGTCATGCCTCGGGCAGGGTGGCAGATGCCAGGGCCTGGGGTGGCCTTGGTCACCACACCCAGGAGACCCATTCAGCTAGCTTAGGGACACGGATGGCTCAAAAGTTCATTGACACCTAGACTCCTTAGGAGCTTCTCCCTCCCTTCTGGGGCTCTGAGCCCCTTGCTGATGAGACCACTCTCCCTTCTTTTCCTCTGACCCAACAGGAGGATCCACACCCAAGAGCCCTTGTCAATCTGACAGTGTCCTGAACTGACTTTAAGGCTGGCTCTCTAGGGACCAGCCACATCTGTGTGCTGTAGTCAGACTGGGAACCTGGGACATCTCTTTCCAGAGCTCCACATCAGACCTGTGGCTATTAAACCCATCAGACTTGCCATCTAGGGGCTGGATGTTTTCGGGCCGCACCCACACTTGCCCTGCGCTAGGGTTTTCTTGCTGTGTGAGGACTCAGCAGGATTTCCCATCCTAGTTCTCAATCTGCTCTATATGGAGTCACCCTGACCTTGGGGTTAGCCAGCATCTGCCACTTCTGAGACATATGGTGTGGCAGCTGTCAAAGAACGGAGGCCACTAGAGTCCATGTGGGCTGACTGTGGCCAGTGAGAGGGCCGCCTCAGCCTGCGCCTCTGAACACGCCACCAGCATCAGCTGCAGGGGTGGAAGGTCCCAGAACGTGTCTTCCTTGGGTTTCCTGGGAGGGCTCATCAGCCTTGGTTGACTGGGAGGGTCCAGGGTGACAGAGATGGTTCTGGTTCTGTCTCTTGAGCTGTAAGTTCTTCAAGCTCTGTGACCCAAGGCAGGGTAGAGTTAGGTAAGGGAGAGGCTGCGGGCGTCGCGCCTGATGAAAGGAGGAGCAGGTGTTCAGTGGGGTTCCT